CTATGCGAATGTTAAGTTTTCTAAGCCCTCCTTTCTCATACAAGTTACTACAAAATAGAATTATTCGATCGTTGAAATTATGAAAGTAAAAACATATAGTTGTTACAAGTGAAAATGTAAAAAACTTTTTCCAATTAAATATTGAATTTCCATAAATCTTTTTTTTAAATATAATTTTCATTAAAACTAATTCATAAATTATTTAAAATTTTATTGGTAAATTTTAAAACTTTTGATTTGTCTGTCGCCGCTTATCATAAAAGAATTGTCTCTATACAAAGAAAAGTGTTTTTTTTTTCTTTTAATAGCATTTTTGTTGTCCCATAACAGCAGGTTCGAAGATACGATAAAGTAATGGATAGCGGCTCGGATTGAGGAATCGGAGAGCAGAGTTCGAATTCCAGTCAAGTTCATTACATTCACTTACGTGCTAATAAGCAGGACAAATTGGGCCCTAGACTTGGTTGGTAATCAGTCTAGGAAAAGGAAAACTCTAAATTCAAACTAGCCTGGAGAGGGTTAGACTCCATCAGGCTGTCTTGCCCAGAAAACACCACTGCTGCATTGGCTGCAGTAGATGTGGTGCCCCTACCGCTCAGAGAGGTTACGAGATTCGTGATCATGAATAGCTGGTAAATTTGGGCGGGTAGACAGGGGAGAGTAAAATAATTGACAGGCAAACAATCCCATCTAGCTGTTATATTTTGTACTCTTAAGTACAAAGTAATCTTTTGAAACTAAGTTAATTAATAGAATCTATTAAAATTGTTAATCTATTTAACAATTTTTCTTTAAAAGATATTTACAGGAGAGATATTTTATTTTTCGAAAGTTTAATTTTTCTGTTGACAAACATCAGTTATGTGTTGAGTTGACAGAAGAATGTAAAACTTAAAAAAAACATTTACAAAATTAAGAGCAATAACGGAAAATAACTTCAAAGAAGCTATTTAAAATGAAAACAATCCTATTTTTTCTTAGTATGCTACAATTCCCACACCTACTCTTGAGATTTAAATCCAGCGCGCTTTTAAAAACCTTGGTTTTTAGGAGTAGGTAAAAGTAAAAGACGTCCAAACGGTATTGAATAAAAAAAAATCATGGGATCATTTAATTGGCAGAAGTTAACAACTGATATAGGAACAGATATTTTCTTTGGGCATCTCCCATTTAGGATTTAATTTAAGGGTTGCAAGACTACATTGTGTACGAAGGGACATTTTATTTTGTTTGTAACAATATTCTTTGCGCTACTCAGTCAAACTGAAATAATTCTATCGGGCACACATAATCGTCTTAATAGTGCTTAAAATGACCCCCCCTTTTTTAACACCTACTCTTTGCCACTGCTAAATAGTGGCAAAGTAACTAGGAACTGAAGGCATCAAATATTCTTCCTACCTAAACAAATAAATTAAAAAATGCGAAGGGAAAAAAGTATTTTAAGTAGTACATTCATATGCGTGATTTTATTTCTATGTTTCAATGAAATAAAAGAAATTAAACTTTTGTTTTTCTTAACAACACGTAATTAAAAATATTAAAATGTGATAGGATTAGAAATATAGAATTATATTTCGAGTTAAAAAAGCTGAGGATAAATTAATTAGGAAATTTGTGAAATAGATGGAATACTTAAAAATAAATAAACTGAGAAAAGAAAATAGTTTACTAAACTTGTACTTAAACTTGACTCAGTAATTTATCCGCATGGCTGTTACAGAAATAGCAGCTTTTGTTATGTTTGCTATAGAAGTGAAATACCGCCTTCATTCATTAGCTTTTAAGAAATTCAAAATGAAAATTTTTTCAGTTCAGAACTTAAATCATTTATTGAATGAATACTAAAAGACCTACTTTTTTTTAAATGAATCCTTTTTTCTATCATTTTCAAATGCAATTTAAGCTCATTTTAAAAGCACATTACGTATAAATTTTTCAATGTGTATGATAAGGACGTGATATTACTAGGAAAACACTTTTCTCCAACTCATTCAAATGAGTACGTGTAAAAAAAAAAAAAACACCTACAAATTGCGCTACAAACTAAAGGATCGGTAATTTTTAATTTTGAAGTGAAAATTTGAAAGAAAATCATTTGAATAATATGGTAATCTTGAAGCATACTTTTTTGATTTATGAAAAAAAATCTTATGGATGTCTAATGTTAAAGTGCGTGATTAGAAAAACATTTTTTTTTGTTACTTTCTTTACATAAGAAAGAGAGTACAAAGTTTGTGTTTTTTTTTTTTTACAAAAAAAAAAAGAAAATAAGAAAAAAGTATCACGCTTTCCACATGGAAGTAACAAAACGTCAAATCTGTGAGTTTAATTCGAAATTTAAAGGTGCAATCAAAGTTATATTAAAATTAGCCAAATCTACTAATAATCAACGCAGATCAGTAACTCTTCAATCGTATTATTTAGTAACGTCAATTAGCGAGGTTACTAAAAAAAAATAGTCGTTAAAAATGCTCATTTAAAGGATTGTCGAAAGGTTGTCAATGTAAAATAAAAAAGATATAATTGTTAGCAAAATTATAATACTTTACTATAGGCCTATTTATTAAATTTATATTGTTAATTAAATAAAACTATCAATATCCACATACATTTCCCGCCAAATGAAAGGTACAAAAATAAAAGTGAGAGTCAATGAGGGGGAAGGAAGGTTACTAAAAAGGGTTAAAAACACTGGACACTAATTCTTCGTTAATTGGGGTAGTGACTGACAAGCCTATTTAATTCACTGTTATTATTGAGTAATGAATTCACTCCCTAGTCACTACTAATATTCTAAATGACGCTTCCTTAAAACAGAACTAAAAGATTTATTTAGACACTGTCTCATGAAGAGATTTACGTCAAAGTAAAAAGATTACGATATTTTACTTTCAACAATAGCAATTTTAAACCTAAATATCTCGCATACAAGTAAATACCTGTCCAAGCAAAAGTATGCACTAAGAACTATATATAATAACCTCTTACAGTCGCGCACATATTACTATTTAAAAAGAAAATAACTTTTTTATTATTATAATTTAATTTCAATGTGTTTCCTGTTTCGTAAGACAAGTTTGCTTTTAGCTTGGGTGGATATTACCTTGATTTCACATATAGCAGATTTTTTTCTTGCTTACACCTTGGCTGATGGTAAAGAACAAATTGATTAAAAACTTTACCAAAATTAGAATAAAAAGCATATCAAATCGTTACTTTAAAAAAAAAAAAAAAAAAAAGAACCAAAATTGTGATACCGGCTGCCAATTACATCCCATCGTGCATTGTAACCGGAAGAAGACAATGGCAGTTGACGAAATCGTAACGGATTGTGAGAGTGAACCACTTCACCCATTTAAATCTTTTTCTAAGCGAGTAAGTGAAATGAGTGTTGAAAATATGTTCCCGGTTATATAATTGATCTTTTTATTGTGTTTGTTATCTTAGCATTTTTTTCTTATCTTCCATTAAATGGGTGACAATAACAAAAAGAAAGAAAAAAAATAATAAAGAAGAAAAATTGAAATTTTAATAAAATAAATTTTTGAGTGGACAAAATGTTTTTAAGGAAAGATGTTCCTTTGATGTGACATGTCGGCTGATCATGACTCCGCAACTGTAAGTGTAACTGTCTATCTTAGAGATGATCTTCAAGCTTAAATCTTTAAACGGGCCAATCCAAAGAAAAGTACATCAAAGTAAAAAGATAAAAGAATTAGCAATTTACGTGAACATTACATACTTAGCCAATGTCTTTGATTTAAGAAAGAGTATAGTAAAAGAGAAAACAAAAGAAAAATACAGTTACGTATTTTTAAAATTCTTGATAGAAATGCATAAATGCATTTCAAGAAATAAAGTTTCTTGAAGAAAACGTAAAAGTTGATGAAGACATACAAAGTTATTGATACAAACACCTGTTTTTGTTTGATTGCTATTTGTGGACGAAATTTGTAGCTACAATGCGTGCAGGGAATTTTAATATACAGAAAGGAAATCACAAAGCCTTTCATATTGAGCAAAAAGTGGCTTCACGGGCGAGTCCCAAAATCAGAACTTATCAGAAGTGAAAGGTAGATCTCCCTTTCTTTCTCAAATGCTAACATAATAGAAGCAACATATTTTAACAGAGAAAAAATTTTACTTTCAAATTTAAATTGGGTTGTGTAAATGTAAGACTAACACATATTCGAAATTTAATAAAGATGTTTCAACGATAGGTTTCTTTATCCATGTAAAAGTTCTTTGTGTAGTCATAGTGTTACTGTTAATTGTTAAAATGTTATTAGTAAAAAAAAAAAAAAAAAGTACGAAAAGATAAAAATTTAGCTTAAATTTTTGTTGTGGTCTATAAACCCTTGGCAGTTTTTTTTAACTGAGAATTTAGTGCATTTAAAGATTTGTTGCATACTTAATTGAAATATACATCTTGCCGGCTTTGAAACTTGTTACTGGCTTTTGTGTGTACACACACCAAGGGGAGATTATTTTCATAAAACTAATTACACGCATATTTACTTATGGTTAACTTGAGAAGGGTTTAAACTTTTATTACAATCAGAAGCTCAATTAATTATCCCCCACTTCCAGAGGCAGTTCGCACAAGTTTTTTGTTTTTGTTTCTTTTTTTGCATTTTTTTTTCAATATAATTAAATATCCAATATTAAACGATATAAATAGAATATATAACATTTTCTAATTAACATTATTTCTCAGTGTTTCCTCTTCCGTCAGATATCAATTCTATTTTTAGCTTTGTTGGTTATTAATATTATTTATTTACATTTACCAGTACCTTGATTTACCGAACCTACCGGAGATTTTTGGCTCATATGTACATTGATCAATAGTACCATACACTGACTAAAATTTATTAAAATAAAAAAAGAAAATGAAGATATATCATTATTTTTTTAATTAAAAAAATAAATAAAATAATTTTTGAGACCGGCTCCAAATTACATCCCATCGTGCATTGTAACCGGAAGAAGACACAATGGCAGTTGACGAAGTTGTTGCGGATTGTGAGAGTGAACCACTTCACCCATTTAAATCCTTTTCTAAGCGAGTAAGTGAAATGAGTGTTGAAAATGTGTTCCTGGTTATTTAATTGATCTCTTTATTGTGTTTGAACTGCAGGCATTTTGTCCCTTTTTACCGTCCCTTCGATCTTCCCTTCCATAGGTGAAGAAGAGAAGGGCGATAAGTAATATGACAAGAAAAAGAAAAGACAAAGAAATAAACGAGAAATAAGATTAAAAAAATGATGAAGTCGACGTAAGAGATTCATTAAAAGTGTCACCCTCCTTTCAATATTAATATCTAATAAACTAAAATTCACATACCGGACCAGAACCTAAATTACAAATTTTAATAATAAAAAAAAAATGTACTACTTATGAAAATAGCACGACGAGTTCCTAAAGTACTGTATTTAAGAAAGAAAAAAAATCTTTTCCTATGAAAATAATGAAATCTTACAAGCGATTTTCAAATTTTTCTTTTTCATTAAAATTTTAAACTAAAGCTCAGTATGAGACCAGGTAAAAAAAAAGGTATAAGCTAAAAAAGCACGAGTTAAAAAGAAGGAAGCATTAGAAAAAGATTTAAAAATATAAAACGAATTTTTAAAAATACAGCTGTCATTTGAGAATGAAATGAAATGCTTGGATTAAAAGAATTCTAAAACTGGAAAATGTTCAAAAATAACATTTTGAATTCAGAATTCTCTGTACCGCTGAAAATTACTTAATGCTCCCCCCCCACCTACTTAAGGCGTATGTGGGGGTGGGACTAAGATACCTATTTTCAGTTTTGTATGCATTAAAGTTAAAAGTAAAACTATGTACATTTAGAGTGGAGTTAAAAATTAATATTCTATATTAAGTTTAATGTTGATCCTTGTCGGCTTTGGATTAAGTACAACCAAGAAGAAAGTAACGTGCTGGCTAATATATATTTTTGAATCTGCCACCTTTTGTCTTGATGTCAGATATATTCAAGATGGCGGCTTCAATACACTAATTAATTTGGCACATTTTAAACAAATATTGAATGCAAATTACTTTTAGTAAAAATTATAAGGAAGTTAAATAAGAAAAAAAAATGGTTTATGATTTTATCAATTTGTTATGGTGACTACCATTAAACTAATTATGGAAAAATAATTTTGGATACAAAATTTAATTCATCCTTAAAAATTTAATTTGCATGTGCTCAGTTTAGTTTATCTCATATAAAAAACACAACCCAATTATATGAAATCATAGAATTAGCTTCCTATAAGTAGCGAATAACAAAATTTGAAAATCGGTCTTTCTTTAGTTTGGTATCGAATTGAACAAAAATTGCTTATTCTGGTAGTCACCTGGCTTAGTGGATTTGTCCTAAATTGATCACACAAATAAAGTCTACAAATTAGTAAACTTGTAAAAGTTTTTTTTTCTGATTTTAATTTACGATGACACCCGTCTCATCCCCGATTTTATGTTGTGTCTAAAAACAAAGAAAAAACGCTACGGTGACGGGTGTAAAAAATGTACCTTTTTTTTTTTTTTGTCTAAATGAAAGATTATTGTTTGTAATGTAGTGTAACTGTAGTGTAATGTATTGATTATTATTTGGTACGTATTTTACTCGGATATGATTTATGAAATCATTTCCTTTTGCTAAATGATGCTGATGCATATCACCCCAAAATAAATGAATGAATGAATGAATGAAAATGGGTCATCTGGTAAAGAAACGGTTCATTATCTTTTTCATCTAAATAGCGCTGTAAAAACTTTTTTTAATTGAGAATACTAATTAAAAAAAAAAAATCCTTTCTTTATCCTTTTCAAAACCTGTGAGAGAAACTTCTTCCCTAAGGACCAATTAACAATTTTTAATAGATTTTTTAAATAATTTAAAATGTTTCACAATTAATTACCTTTCTGTTGCATTAAAATTAAAGTTGTAAACTAAATAGAAAAATTGACCTTTTTAGAAAGTTACTAAATGTCTGAAGCAAATTTAAAAAAAAAAAAAAAAAAAAACTTGATGCGCCAATTATGCCCAAAATAAAAAAACAAACTAAATACCTTGTTCGTACACAATTGTGAAATAGGGAAGATTAACTAAACAAAAAAATTATTTTATTTATAATAATAGTCACTATTATTAAAATAATTTTTTGTCAATCTTTTTTAGTTTAATGAAAAAAATTATTAATGAAGCAAGAAAAAAAAAGACACTAATAGAATTCAAGTTTAAAAAGTTAATAATACTATAGATATTTTTTTTTTTTTACAGCTTTGGGAAAAAAAAACTTCAGAAAATTTAAACTAAATTTTTTAGTCACCTATTTTTTGTTGTAAGCAACCCATCTTAATTTAATGATTTGTCTTGACACCCCTCATTTTATTATTCGAAATAATTCTGTTTTCTACGCTTTAACCATATTTTTCATTTGAACTTCTTCGCTGTTTTTTTTCCCATTCTTTCTATATTTGCCTGTTCAACCACTTCGTACATCGCACCTTGCTTTTCGTCTGGTTCTTCCGCTATTTTTACCCCTGCCCAAGAACCATTTTTATCGCTTAAGAGAAGCTGCTTGCTTGCTTCCTTCTCAAGAGAAATAAGTGAAAATTGCCAACTAGCCTGGCAACTAGGCTATTCTTATGTTGAACATCAATTGTTAATTTTGTCTTTTAATTCATTGAATTTAATTTTAAATTATCATTTATTTATATTTCTCTGATCAAATTCTCAAAATTAATAAAATAATTTGCCGTACTATCAGTATATTCGGTTTTCTAAAGAATTTTATTTTTTTAAAATAAATGATTAATCCCGGAGCTCAAAGCCAATAGGAATAAATGGCTTGCGAAAATATTTTTACGAACCAGTACAACTTCAGGAAAGGTTTATTTTATGAGTGCGGAAATTTTCTGAACTTCTGTCAGCTACAACCAAATATTGTCTTTGTTTGCTTTGCACGTCTTAATACTGTTCAAACCGCATAAAAAGTGCATGCTTCTTCACTATCTCTCCTTCAACTAACAAATGATTGTGGTTATTTTCCTTGATAAGTAAATTTACTTTCCTAGTTTCATTTACGAATCGAGGAAAACATTTTTTTTTCTCTTCTAATGTAATCCAGTATTTTCATCTGGATCAAAATTTAGAGAAGAGTGAAACAATTTTTTATCTCAAAAAAAGAAAATCCCTTTACCCAATGTTCACAACGTCCATCCGTTGTCCTGTAGTAGTTAACTATAGTATTGACAGTGACACAAAAAGTGGTGGTCGGCGTGTTGCCCGAATAGAGAGCATGTCTAGTAATTTCAGTTGAGGAGTGTAGTAGGCGACGACGGTGGTGCTTTACGGACTCTCATCTTGGCCCTATAACACGATAGAGTATCCTTGTTTCTCTATGTTCGTTTTATTGTTCAGTTATACTGATTGTCAGTACTGAAAAATAAGACCTTTGGTATCAATTTTCTGGCGATCATTTCCCGCAAACAATATACTCTATTCTGAAACACAACTTAGTGACACTTACGGAAGGGTTGGCACTTGGCAACTATGACGATGCAGCGACACGGAAAACAAAGTAAAAAGAAATCTCAAGAAAAATCGCCTACTCTTGTAAGTTTTTTTTTTTTTTTTTTTAAGTGAAAAAATTTATTATTATTATCACTTTTTCATTTGTTATTTTATAATCCATAAAATATCTTTTCCAATGAAACTTTAGACAACTTTAAAAAAAAATAGTTTTCCTCGTGTCAATTAATTGATAATAGTCCGTTGATTTTTTTTTTTTTTTTACAGCATTTCTATTTTTCAAAGATCTTCTCCCAACTTCATGTTTCATAATTTTCCCTTATTCTCGACATATTTAAATATTTTTATCCTAATGCAATAAAAAAAAAAAGTCAGTTTGTACCCTAAATTAACATTTTTCTTTTCTTTACGAAGAGTTAAAGTATGACTTCGTTTTTCTTTTCTTTTTTTTTAGCTAAACGTTAAAGTAGATTTTCTATTAAAAAAAAAAGTCTTTTAATGAGGAAAAGCGGAAGCAATTTCGAAATTACAGAGTTTCCGTGTTAGCTCTTTTTGCATTTTGGGCTGTTTTTCGGCAGTTGAGGATTAAAGTAATTAAATATATTCTCCTACCGCCGGTCATCTTTGTTCACCGCGTGTTTTTATTTTTTTGCGATTCTTATTTAAAACTTTTTTTTTTACATTTTCGGAGCAAAAGTAACATTTGCAACTTTTTTGGTTTTAAACGGCTTTTTTTGCTGTAAGATACTCAAGTCAAAACATCTTTATTCTTTTGTTTCCTTGAGTGTTTTTTTACTGCTATTATTCATTACAAATTTATTAGCGAAGCTAATTGTGTTTTTGTAATTTTGAGTGATTTGAATTGAAAACTTTAATCCGAAAAAGTTTGATTTATTGTGTGAACTGTTTGTTGTTTTAAATGCTAAATCTCATTTTGTTTGTGATTTGGGAGGGGGAGAAGCACGTGTTAAATAGCAATTTTGATGTTCACAAATTCTATAAATTTTCGTCAAAAACTTTTGTGTAAAACTTTTTTTATTGCCACTATTGAAAAAGTAATATTTTATTGTAACTGAAACTACTTGTATACTAGTTTTCGTTACATTTTGGGATTTTTTTTCTCTCTTAATATCCATAAATGAACTATATCAAGAATGAAAGTGAATAAACTGGTTTTATTGCTCTATTGACCACCCATAGTTTCATACATAAAATCGTTTTGTCGACACTTGCTGAAAAGAGTCGGAAGTATTTTACGAGCAGAAAAATAATGCAAATTAAGTAATTTATATATAATATATATATATATACACATACATATTATATATAATTATATTTAAAATTTACAATAATTTCTCAGGATGTTTACCGACAATCTTATGGCGTAGTCTCCCTTCCTCTCTCTTTTGTGTTTGTGAGAGAGGAGAGAGAGACTGGTGTATTTTTATTACAAAGATCATGGCGCCTCTTTCTCTTAATTGATGTTACTGTTAGTGCACGATCTTTCCAACTAAAAACTTG